TGACTCTAGTTTTAGTTATCTGTTTTGTAGCCTGTGCATGTAACATCCCACTTTTCTTAAATCTAAATCACGAGTACTTAATTCCAAATGATAAACTAAACAAGATTATAATAAGATTATTAACTTAAAACCATCCCAAAGGGTGTCACCGCCACAATCAACATACACGATGATTGCATAGGCTAGCAAAAACTCTAACTAAAGTCACGTTTAAACAAACTACATTCAACTTGGGGACTAACACCCTGGTGTCCATCAGCAACAAAACATCCAACAAAACTAACTTCCAATGTTTAATCAAACATGACTGGATAAAAGTTTAGACTATAACTAGTTCTCTAAGCTAACACTAGTTTAACTCGATCGCGCTCAAGAACTGGGCACACCTGAAAGGGGTTAACAAACAAGCAAATAGAAAACAACCAGTTAGCACGAATGTTAAGTATAACGACACTCAACCCTATAAAATACTATAAAATATACTTTTGGAAAACATTTTCCACGTACACTTAGTTCAAGTATTCTCAATCACTTTAAACAACAACTCAAACATGCTCAACAATAATGCTTACAACCTAATTATCAAAGAGGCATACTTCCCCAAACATTTAACTCATCAACAATCTCATGCTTTCATAGATATAACAAATCATGGCGAAATACTCTACTCAAACTCAAACAGATAGATAAGGAAATACTTAAACTTAAACAAGCAAACTCATGCTATCAAGTTAATCAACAATCAACAATATAAAGTAGTACTTCTTCTCATACTTTCATGAACACGTGCAACTCATATAATCATGCAATAAGATGAACATGATGCTTTAAGTATAAGTATATAGATAGATATACATATATACTCGCTATTTTGTAAAAAGGAACACTTTTTCTGTGGAGGTTTCTTAGATGACTCGCTTTTCTCTTCTTTCACTTGAGTCTCTTGACTCGCTTTTTTTCTTTCTTTCTTTCTTTACTCATGGGCGAGGTAGGCACTTCACCACAATATGAACGGACCTATCCGGGCTCGGCATCTAGCCGGCCTAATACTCATCTCGCCCACAGAACCACTCTCTTGGTTCTTTTCTTAAACTTTGTGGAATCAGGTATCGTACTTATCAGTGTGCACACCTCCTGATCAGGATTCCAAGCCCGACGAGTACTATCCAACCTAGTAACGTGGGAATACGCCGCGTTACTTCACATCGGATCGCAATGTCCGTTTCTTTCTTTCTTTTCTCTTTTCTTCTGAAAAGACATAGTCCTAACGAGCCCCCAAAACCACGGTTTACTCACACTAGATGCATATAGATATAGCTCATGCACTTCTTTCTCATGCAATAATTCTATTTATGCAAACCCATGCACATAGTTTCTCAACAACTTCTCTTTTCTCACAAATTGGAAATCAATTATCATGCAACTTCTCAATGCAACTAGATAATGATTTATCCAAAATAGATATAGGTTTTTGAAAGAATACTTGGGCTTACTTAGAGCCAATGATGCACTTTAAATCATGAAATGCTAAGCATGCTCTTTTACTGTAAAAGTAATCTCAAATGCTCTTTCACTATGAATCAAGGAAACAAAATGATACTTCATGCTTATAACTCAATACTTTGCAAAGCTTTTTATCAAATACTTAACGAGTATTGATCATGCTCTTCAACTTAAGATAAACTTCATACTCAAATACTTCTCTTTACTGTAAACTATGGAATCATGCACTGGATATATCAAATTGTCACATTCTTGGCAAAGCTTCTCAATAAATCACAATAAGTACTTAGTCATGCTTTTCAATCAAGAACTAATCAGATAATTATCATGCTTCTCATTCAAATAGCTAAACTCAACAATTTATATTTTTCCTTCTCTGTAAACCAATTATAGTAAACAACAAGAATAAACCTCAACACAATTTCTACTGTAAAACAAGTATCTCAACTCCAAATTCAACGAAACTAACTTCTACTAGTGCGTTGTAACGAACCCGAGTGTCCGAGCCTCAAGAGTCCACGAGTCCCTGTAACACCCCCGAAAACACGTGCTATAAAAAGCCTTAACACATGCAGATCATACAACAACACGATAGCACAGCGGAAGATAAAACGATAACTGGATAAAAGAAATCCAAACGAGGTGTTATGCCACGTCTACCAACCACGGTAAACGCTACGGCGGTCAAATCTGCAATTTGTATACATATATCCCAAAGACATCAGTCTAAAACTACGTTGGCACACAGGCTACAAAAGAAGGATAAAGGTATTAAGCTACCAGGCACTAGACATCGCGCTCGTCTAAACATCACCTGAAAGATACAAAGATAAACATTGGGACGACGCCCGGTCAGCGATAATGCTGGTAACCCACCAATACATGTGAAATATCATATATAGATAGATATAAGTTGTAAAGCCATTTTCGAAACGGAATACATAAGTATATAAGTCAAAAGCCAAGATCAACAGTCAACACAAGACTCATCACTCACAAAGACAACACGGGAACACATCCCAAACCACAAAGGTTAACCACAATGCAAAGGATAAAGACAAGAATGATGGCAACACATGCCAAAGCAACACATGCCTCCGTGACTACACACATCACCAGAGAAGAACACACAACACCAGCTATACAAGCCCTCGCAACATCACCCATCACGAGTTGATATGCCTTCCTTATGCCTTGTTCCAACCTTATGGCTACCCCCAACCTTGTTTCTTCTCTCCAACCATTACCTCCAGGACCCCTGTACAACCAAGTCCAACCTTATTCCCCCGGGACCGACGTCCCCCACCAACGACCACCAATGAGACCACCAATTCACGGCAACACATGCCCGGATAACACATGTTATCCCCCAAAACGTGAACCTTACACAAAGGCCACAACTCCATAATCACGTCACGGCCACCACGAGGATCGCTGCAATACCTTGGTGACTAGTGTCTCATACCACTAATCGTGCAATCTAGGTAAAGCCACACACGCACCACAACTCAACAAGAGTCAAACAATGGATCACAACGAAGGTATGAAACATACTCAATCAAGGAACGGGTCACAGCCCAACAACATCAAAGACGGATAACACAAGTTACCATCAACCAAACGGAAGGTACAAACCACACACACGCTAGCATTAAGACAACAAACTAGCATGCTTATCAACGGGGAAACTCAAGATAATTCCGAGGAACACACAAGACACCTCTTGGTCCAACGAAACACAATGTTGAACACTTAGCACGATTCAAGACACCAAAGTCCTATATGGATACCTACCATATAGTTCTAGACATACGAAACATCAAGAAGACACTCAAATAGTTCCACAAAAGAACATCGGGAAGTCAAAAGACCAAATACCGAGTCAAACGGATCACGGGGAACAAATCCCATCTCAACACCACTGTGTTCCCGCGGGTGGACCCACGTGTAGGCTCCCACCCGTGGTTCCGCCCGCGGGTACACTACCCACGAGGCTACATGTTCCCCGTGGGTGAGCGGCGGGTGGAGCTCGACCCGTCGTTCCGCCCGCGGGTACATATACCTGTGCAAAATAATCCCTTCGGGGATTTTCTTCTCTAAACACCAATTCAAGTCAAAAACATGCCAAATCTCACCCAATACAAAAAAATGACTTGAACCATAGAAAATGCCAAGCAATGGCATAAAGGAACCCTAAACACAAGCTCTAGATATGCAATATCACAAGACAAATGCATAAACCCTCACATTTCATAGCAAAACACAAGTAGAATCCAAGAAATCATATATAGGTAAGTGATGGAATATAAAGAATTGGGCCTGGATCCAAGAGCATAGGGGGGGGGGGGTGGGGGGCAGGCCCAAGATGGATGGTGGGCGAGCCCATGGGTGCAAGCGAGGAGCCAGCAGGGCCGCATGCATGCGAGGGTGGCGGCCCAACTACGGATGCATGCATGCGGCGGCGGCGGCGGCGGTTGGGGTGCTACGCGACCGTGTTGCATGCGCATGCATGCGGGATGGTGGCGGCATGCGTGCGTGTACGGGAGATCAGCCGCACAACCCGCTCACGCGCCCGGGCACGCAGGGAAGTAGCCGCCATTCCACGGAGCGTGGCTGAGATGGCATCGGACCCATGGACGGGAATGCGCGCACGACACGGGGTGTGTACGCAAGGTGGACGCGGGACGTGCGGCATGGTCGACATGCGTGTGTCTCGAGAAGGGGAGGTTGGCGCCATCCACGTGGTTGGCCGGGAGGGATCCGTATCCAATATAAAAGGGGGGGGGGGGTCGTAATCCAAAGGGTACAAGGTGTGTGGAGTAGCGGGGGTGGTAAGAATCAGTGAGTGAGAGGCAGGTGGTCGCAAGATCGATTCTGGATAACGACAGTCATTGGTCGTCAATTAGGGCTTACTGTTGGGCTTGATAGTGGGCCGGGAATCTGGGCCTAGTGTTCTTAGCATAGTATATTCATCCCAATCTTATGTTATCCATTCTGTTCGGTTTATGGTGGACCCATTTTCATTAAACCCATCATTGGCACCGTCTGTGGGGATCGCGACAAAGAGCCGTGTTCGCAAACCCGTTACCTGCTCATACTGTTTGATACGCCTAGTTCCCTGCGACGATCATGGGATCACAGAGCCGATTCTTGAGGGCGCCAGCCTCCGACGCGGGACAGCGGATGCCGCCCCCCAACGGAGGTCGAGCCGCTCCTATTGGCATCCGGTGGGCCCACTCGACTCTGCCCACGCAGAAAGTCGCCCGCGCTGATCTCGGGGCCAACAACGCAAAGCCCGTGGTCCCCGAGGCTCGCGGCCCGGAGCGGCGTGAGAAGCCCGTCGCCGACGCAAACGTGAGCAACAGGAAGACCGCGCCCCAGGACCAAGGATCGGAGTGGGGCTGGATAGGTGATGCAGGCAGGCATGCGCGCGACGACGAGTCAGAGGGAGAGAGTGCCCACCAAGCCGTGGTGGCCGGCCCAGGTGGGCGGAAGGCATGGAGGCTAAGATAGCCGAGTTGCTCAAATGGAAAGAAGGGGGCGGGGTACCTATCCCGAAGATTGAGGTTACCCCACCCTTCACTCGGAGGATCATAAGGGAACCCATTCCTTCCACCTTCAAGCCACCCAGCATCACACGCTTTGACGGCCGGGGTGACCCACAAGAGCACATAATGGCCTACCAGGCTACCATGATGCTAATGGGATCATCAGAGGCCATGATGTGTAGAGCCTTCTTTTCCACCCTTATCGGCCAGGCGCAACGCTGGTTCACAAGCCTCAAAGGAGGGACTGTGGACTCTTTCCATGACTTGGCTGTGAAGTTCATCACCCACTTTATGAGGGGAAGGAAGATCCGAAAGCATTTCACTCATCTCACCACCGTGAAGCAGGGAGTTGGGGAATCACTGACCGACTTTCTGGCTCGCTGGCGGGCGGAGGAAGCGAACGTAGAGAACATCGATGACAAATCAGGCGTGGTCATGTTCGTCGACGCCCTAAGGGCGGGAGACCTGTACAAAAGCCTACGATGCAAAACCCCCGACACCTATGCAGCGCTGATGGCGAAGGCTGACAGGTATGCCGAGGCGGAGGAGGCGAACCGTTTGAAGGGCCGCGAAGAAGAGATCCCCGGTAAAAGGTCCCGACCGACCGAGGAGCCTGTTAGGCCGGGAAAGAGAGGGGCAAACCCCGCGGCAGAAAGGGCCATTGGGGGGAGGGGAGCAGACGCTGGAGAGGGGACGATGACATATAGGGCGCCTCCACCGTGGGCACCCCGCCCGCCGATGAGGAGTCTTCCGACGGCGCCCCTCACCCCTATCAACGCCCGACCCAGTGAGGTGTTAGTCTATGCCGAGCAATGCCAAATGGTTAAATTTCCCGAGCCACGGGCACCGAGCATCCCCGCCGAAGGCCGGGGGCGATACTGTCGATTCCACCGCCGACCCGGGCACAATACGGACGAGTGTCAGGCCTGGAGGAAGGAGATAGAGGCCCTAATCCAATCAGGCCACTTGGGCAATTTCATCGATTGGAGCAAGATGTACTATGGGAACGTATGGAGGAGGGAGACAGCAGAGGTTGGCCCTGAGAGTCCCAACCCCCCGAAGGGAAGGACAGGTGGGGGCGCAAGCGTTAAGGGGAAACGCCCCGTGATTAACGTAATCTTCGGTGAATGGTCAGCAGGCAAAAGGGAGGAGGAATATGTGGGGTCCGTCGAGAGAACACCCGCCGTGAAGAGACAACGCAAGGAACCGATCACTTTCACTAATACCGACCTCCCACGTGGAGGAGCTTCGTCCAAGGAAGCCATGGTTATCGCAATGGAGATCAACGGCACTATAGTCAGGCGAGTGCTGCTCGACACCGGGAGCAGCGTAAATGTGATGTATCACGATATCTTTGTCAAGCTGGGATTTGCCCAAGACCAGCTGAAACCGATCAAAACTCCGTTGGCCGGATTCACTGGGGACACGGTTGAAACAGAAGGCATGATTTGACTACCGGTGGAGATCGGCGACTCGCCGCACGCACTAAAGGCAGAAATGGATTTCGTGGTGGTCAGGATAACCTGCGCCCACAACATCATATTAGGCAGGCCGGGGTTGGTGGAGATAGGGGGGATCTTATCCATGGAACATTTGTGCTTGAAATTCCACACCCCCAGCGGGATAGGGATAATACGCGGCGATCAGCAGTCCGCGCGAGAGTGTTACGAGAAGGCCTGCCGAAACATCGACCGACTCCCCGTACACACGGTCGAAAAGCAGGAAGGAACAGAACCGGAAAGGAGGCCGGAACCGGCAGTGGAGTTAGAGGAAATACAGCTAGACCCGTCTCAACCCAGCAGGACGATGAAAATAGGAGGAGGGCTCGAGGGCAGCCTGCTGGAAGAGATCGTCCGAGTCCTCAGGCGATACGCGGGCGTATTTGCATGGGAGTCGGAGGATATGCCAGGCGTAGATCGATCGGTGATTACGCACCGCCTGGCAGTGGACCCCACACATCGACCCGTCAAGCAGAAGCGCCGCCACCTATCCGCTAAGCGGAGGGCGTTCGTGAAAAAAGGAGGTAGATACGTTGTTAGCTATAGGGCACATCCGGAAGCCATGTATCCCGAGTGGTTATCCAACGTAGTGTTGGCGCCAAAACCACCGACGTGGCGGATGTGCGTCGACTATACGGATTTGAATAAAGCTTGCCCCCAGGATCCCTTCCCGTTGCCTCGTACAGATCAACTGGTGGACGAGACAGCTGGATACGAACTGCTGAGCTTCATGGACGCGTTCAAAGGGTACCACCAGATATTCATGGCGGAGGAGGATGAAGAGAAAACCGCATTCGTCACCCCGGATGGAATCTACTGCTACAAGGTAATGGCCTTTGGTCTAAAGAACTCGGGGGCCACGTTCACACGAATGGTGGCAGAGATCTTCAAAGGCCTGTTAGGAGACATTATGGAGGCCTACGTCGACGACACGCTCGTTAAGAGCAAGAAGGCCGAATCTCATCCACAGTATTTGACGCGGTGCTTCGAAGTCATGGAGCAACACCACCTCCACCTTAACCCGAAGAAGTGTGCATTCGCCGTGAAAGGGGGAAAGTTCCTGGGTTTTATGGTGACACACAGGGGGATAGAGGTTAACCCAGAAAAAGCAAAGAGCATCCTCGACATGCGACCCCCCAGGTCCATAAAGGATATTCAGCGCCTAAACGGTAAGTTGGCAGCCTTGAGTCACTTCATGTCCAAGCTGGCGGAACGATCACTGCCTTTCTTCCAAGTCATGAAAAGGAGGGACGGATTCGCGTGGAACGACGACTGCCAGGAGGCCTTTGACCACTTTAAAGCTTACTTAGCCTCTGCACCTGTCCTCTCAAAACCGGAGTGTGGGGAGGTCCTGTACGTCTACCTCGGAGTGGCCCCGGCGGCCCTCAGCTCGGTGCTCCTGCGGGAAGACAACGGAGTCCAGAGACCTGTCTATTACGTGAGCAGGGCCTTACATGATGCGGAATTGCGATACACCCCCCTCGAGAAAACCATCTACGCATTAATACGCATGACCCGGAAGCTGGTGTACTACTTCCAAGCCCACCCCGTAGTGGTATTGACGGACCAGCCGCTGGGCTCGGTGATGAGAAATCCGATCTCCTCAAGAAGAATGATGAAGTGGGCCACTGAGTTGACCCAGTACAACATCGAGTACAGACCTCGGGTGGCCATAAAGGGGCAAGCATTGGCCGACTTCATAGTGGAATGCACGGCCCAGGAAAACGGAGTAGATGGCCAGGCCACCACCGAACCTGAGTGGGAGATGTATACGGATGGGGCTTCCAGCTATCTAATAACGAAGTAGAGTACGAGGCTCTAATTGGGGGGCTACGGTTAGCCCAGACCATCCCGGCCTGACGCATTAAAATCAGATCGAACTCTCGCCTGGTAGTGGGACAGGTAAATGGCATATTCGAGACCAAGGAGAATAGGATGCGGCAGTATAAAGAGGAGGTGAAGCAATTACTTGTAGGGCTGGAGCGATGGGAGTTACAACAAATCCCGAGAGCGGAAAATGGGGAAGCCGACCTACTGTCATGCTTAACACAAGGGGTCGAGGAGCACCTCGAGTACATATCACGGATTTCCCAAATCACAGACATAGACAGCCCGAGTATAGAGAGAGAAGAGATCCTCACTGTCTCGCCCGCCCAAGACGAGTGGATACGCGACATGATCTTGTATAAAACCGAAGGCGTTGCTCCGGGGGACCCCGCACGGGCGCGGAAGGTAGCTTTAATGGCCCCCACCTACCAAATCTACGAAGATAGACTTTTCAAACGATATTTCGGAGGACCCCTATTGCGATGCCTTACGGAAGCCGAATCCGAGCGAGTGATGTCAGAACTCCACGAAGGTATGTGCGCCGCGCACCAAGGTGCTAACACGCTCGCACGGAAAGTGATCTTACAAGGATACTACTGGCCGAGGGTCAGGACTGACTGTTTGGAATACGTAAAACAGTGTGCAACCTGCCAACATTTTGCGATCTTGCCTGGCCGTCCCGCGTCGTATTATACCCCAGTTACTTCGGCCATCCCGTTTGCGAGGTGGGGCATCGATCTGCTGGGCCCGTTCCCAAAGGGCGTCGGTGGCCTGAGATTCGTAATCGTGGCTGTAGATTATTTCACCAAGTGGGTGGAAGCAGAAGCCCTGGCATCAATCACCGAACACCAATGCCGCAAGTTTGTCTGGAAGAACATATTCACGAGATTCGGATTACCGTTGCAGATCGTGTCGGATAATGGGAAACAATTCGATAGTGCAGGTTTTGGACAATTTTGCGCATACTACGGGGTCGAACACACCAAAGTGGCGGTGGCGTATCCGCAGGCGAATGGGCAGGTAGAAAACACGAATAGAACCATCTTGGACGGCCTAAAGAAAAAGGTCGACGCAACAGGGGTAACTTGGCATGAAGAACTGCCGTCGATACTGTGGGCTTATCGGACAACACCGCGGAGGGCAACCGGGGAAACACTATTCGCCTTTGCATACGGCTGCGAAGCACGGTTACCCGTAGAAGGGCGCATACAGTCCGGAAGAATGCTACAATACGAGCACGGACAAAACGACGACGACAGGAGGGTGGAGCTGATTTTGTTGGAAGAAAGGCGGGAACATGCACGTAAGCATATGGCAGAGTACCAGCGAGTTGTCAAGCGAGACCATGATATCCGTGCGCGCCCAAGGCATTTCCAAACGGGGGACCTGGTGCTCCGACGCAGAGAGGCCAGCAAACCTTTGCAATGAGGTAAACTGGCCAAAAATTGGGAAGGACCCTACAAGATAGCCGCCCTCGTGCAAGAGGGTACATACAAGCTGGAGACTATCCAAGGCTACCTGATAGACCGGTTATGGAATGCGCACCACTTGAAGCGTTTTTTCCAAAGATCCAGGCTACGGAGGAGGACACGAATAATGTTCTAAGGTACCCCTTAGAACCCACGCATTACATACCTCGCTTTTAGAGTTTATTTGCATTTTCATTCTACTAGCGCAAACGCGCGTCCAACACCTGGTTCTACGGAACTAAGTACGTAACCAGCGTGCCACCCCCCCCCCCCCAAAAAAAAAAAAAAAAAAAAAAAGAGGTATAGTGTGTGGTGCCAGCATGAGCATACATCCACCTGGGCCTGCTGGGAAAGGTACGCAGCCCAGCGTGCAAGCAAAAAAAAAAGGGGGGGGGGAGCTACTGTGGGAAAGCGTGGCACAGTCCCAAAAAAAAAAAAAAAAAAAAAAAAAAAAAAAAACGCAACCATATCTAAAGTTTGCAGGCAAAGGCAGCAAAGGAGCAAAAAGAAAGAGAACTATATTAGATTGAGGATAATGTCAAGAACGAGAATAGCATAATGTCAAAAATAGAAAAAACCGAAAAAAAAAAAGCAGCAATTGACCGAGACAAGCCCTCGGCTCACTCGCGCGGTGGCGCGGTAGATCCTTCTACCGACCCGGAAAAATCGGCTGATGACGGCGTAGTACAGCCATCTGCGCTAGACGGGTTCACGCTTCCGACCCCACCGGTACCAGGACCAGAGGACGGATCAGATGGCGCGGCGATGGCTGAACTTATCCCTCGCCCAGGTCTCTCAGGCGTAATCAGGAAGGCACTCCCGGCCGGAGAAGGGGTCGTGGGTATCACTGATTGAGCCGATGGTTGCAGTGGCAGAAGCTCGGGCAACTCCCATCCACCTATGCTGAAGGTGGAAAAGCGACGACTGAGTTTACCGTACAAAACCTCTTGCATCTCTCGCTGCCCCATATAAAAAGTGGCTTCACCTTCGCGAACCATCCGATTCTGTCCCTCCGCCGTCTCCCGCATCCAAACTTCGGCAATAGGCGTCATAGCAATACGCCCCCTGGGCGTAACCGCCCAATCCTGAAGAGCACGCAGGGAGGGCGGACAGATGAAATCATGAGGATCTTGCGCCTCTTTCCAGTCCGTCATAGCCTCCACCATCGGCTGACCCGACATGCCGGTGGTAGACAACCAGGTTTGCAATAAGACCGGCATCTGCGACAACGCTTGCTCCTCTGCCACCCGGAAGAACTCATCGGAGTTTCGCCAAGCCTAGATCGCGGCCTGCACGGCGGCTGCGTGGGCGGCCTCCTGCCGATTGTGCCGTTCCTGTAGGGCCGTCATCACATGCCGCAATTGTCCGAGCTCGGCGTTCAAGGCCTCCCGGGCCCGCTCTGATTCTGCATACTCGCGAGACATCGAATCCAGCCGTTGTTGGAGCCCCACGGCTTGCATAGTCACCTGAAGCAGGACGAAGTCCGCACGGTAAAAAAAAAAAAAAAAAAAAAAAAAAAACTCACGTTCATACTGTCGCCCACGAGGTGAGAGCTGAGGGCATCCAAGGAGCTACCATCCATCCAGAACCGCTTGGCAGGGGTCACCATATCATGCACGCTGCGCCGGATGAACTCAATGTGACTAGGTTTGTACGG